TCTAGCGAAACCCTAAACCCTCAGGGGTTAGGGTTTCGGTAAACACTAAACCCTCAGGGGTTAGGGTTTAGGGAAATTCCCCCTCCCCCCCCATCTTTCTTTTCTTTAACACCAAAACAACACAAACTGCTGCTGCTGCAGCACCACGCATGCAGGCAGCTGGGGGGCCCCCACACCAACTGCAGCAGGAGGGTGGGGGGCCCCCAGTACCCTGTACAAGGGGGGGCCCCCCGGGGGCCCCTGGTGTTGCTCTTCGGTGCTGCCTTTGCTGCTGCTGTCTCTGCTGCTGCTGCGGATGGTGTATGGCTACTGCTGCTGCTGTTGCTGCTGCTGCTGTTGCTGCTGCTGCTGCTGCTGCAGGTGCTGCAGCGTTTGAAGGTGAGCCAGCAGCACTTTGCTGCTGCTCTTGCTGCAGTGAATCCTAGTGCATTAAGAGAGAGACAGGTGGAGGTGCCTGACGTTCGCTGGGGAGATATTGGCGGCCTAGAAGATGTTAAGAGAGAACTCAAAGAAACTGGTCTGCTGCTGCTGCTCCTGCTGCTGCTGCTGCTCCTGCTGCTGCTGCTGCTGCTGCTGGTGATGCTGGTGCTGCTGGTGGTGGTTGTGGTGGTGGTGGCGGTGGTGGTTGTGGTTGTGGTGGTGGTTGTGCTGCTGCTGTTGTTTTTTCTACATTTGCTGCTGCATTTGCTGCTGCTGCTGCTGCTGCTGCTGCATTTTCTGCTGCTGCTGCTGCTGCATTTTCTGCTGCTGCTGCTGCTGCTGCTGCTGCTGCTGCAGTGCAGTACCCCGTGGAGCACGGTGAGCTGTACCGGGCGTTTGGGCTGCAGCCGAGCCGCGGCGTTCTCTTTTATGGGCCCCCAGGCTGCGGCAAAACTTTGTTAGCAAAAGCTATAGCAAATGAATGTAAAGCTAACTTTATCTCCGTAAGATATGTTTGTTTTTTGTTTTATTTTATTTTATTTTGTTTTATTTTGTTTTAGTTTATTTTATTTTGTTTTGGTTGGGCTTTGTCTCCTCTTTTTTTTGTTTTTTTTTGTGTTTTTTTTGTATTTTTATGTTGTTAGCTAAAGCTATAGCTAATGAATGTAAAGCTAACTTTATCTCCGTAAGATATTTTTGTTTTTTTGTTTTATTTTTATTTTATTTTATTTTGTTTTGTTTTGTTTTATTTTGTTTTGTTTTGTTTTAGTTTATTTTATTTTGTTTTGTTTGAGCTTTGTCTC